TAGTAATCTCATGGATTATGAATGGGGTGTAACATTCACGGGTCAATCATTGTTGCCTATCGTTGTCCCTTATTCGTGGTTGCCTTTTATGATCCGTGAACGGTTTTCAAGTTCCTTAAAAACTTGTTGGTGGTTCCCTACTTTCCTTGTCCCTAATCTTATACGTCAATTCCCACTTCCTAAGAGTGCCAAGCATATTTACCACATGCTTTTACGTAGGCGCACTTCGAACGACGCCTACAATTTGGCGACTCCACTAGGGAGGATTCTTGAATTTATCGATTTGAGTGATCGGTATTTAATTAAGATGAGTGGATGAGACTTGAAAGATTCTTGAATTGTATTCTTGCGATTTAATTGGCATTGTTACATATGCATATGCTATTTAGGTTACCTATTTTGCCACAATAGTACGTGTTCTACGTATGCGGCTAGCCCGGGGGATTTAAGTTCTATCAACCCGAAAACGTTCATGGCAATGAGGGTTCATTCGAGTTTTTAAATCCACCCAAACCATGGAGTCGAGTTCGATTTCATCACGAATTTGCGGAGCCGCCCATTGGCATACACCCTCAAGGGAGGCTGCCTTGCTAACGCGTCCAAACTCTTAACCATGGTACCCTTTGACACCCAAAAGCTTGACCATAGTCGAACATAGAACTTGACTTTAGATTGCGAACTTCATTGCATCATGCGTGACGATATGCTTATATGTGCATTTTTTTTATTGATTTTTTTTAATTATTTTTTTCTCTTATCAAACCCTTTTTTTTTATTATTAAAGTCGAGCCATAGATTTTTTTTTTTTGAGTCACCCGGATTTTTATTCCCGTATACTGCACAAGAGTCAACTTGTTTTGGTCATAGCCCGAGTTCTAGAAAGGGTTACATGTCGTGCCACCTATGGATCTGTAGCCCCGAGTTTTATCTTTGATTTAGTGTTGTTTTCGTCCAAATCAGAGTCACAAATCAAAATTTATAACCGATATACTACAGTCTGTCCAGTTTAGATTTCTTTTTAGCGTCAACTTTCTTTTTTTTTACTTTTTAAAAAAAAAAATTTATATCTTTTCGTGTCAAGATAGTCTTAGCCAAGTCCTTTAATCCTTGTCAACTCATATAACATAGGATTATAGATTTTTATTTTTATTTATTTATTTATTTTTATACCCTTGAGTCCTAACTCCTCTTGAATTCTAGTCCTCTTCCTAGTTTCTTGTGATCGATTTTTGTGCTAACCTTAACACGTGTTCTTTGTCATTGATTGTGGTTGATCTTATTTATGACTAACGATTTCCAATGGACCGTTTTCACCTAGTAAATATCAGAAACATTAAAATTGGACAAAATTAATCAAGTTAGTTTGTCTTTTAGTCTTCCGTGCTATTTGGTCATTAGGTCCTTTGTTTTTCACAACGTCCTCATGTCTAGCCATGCGATCATACCATGAGTCTTAAGAAACTCACCTAATCACACATTTTGAGTCATTGCACACACTTTGTCTTCGAGTAATGCACTATATTGTTTATGATCGTATACTAGGACCATGCATGCGTCGTTTTCCGTCGTAATAGGAATGAGTTGAGTATTTCCCATCGATTTTCAAAATTCTTTCAGACACTCTTCCTTTCCAACCTGAGTATTGAGTCAAAGCATTAAGTGAGCTCATTTTATTCTATAATACTCGAGTTCAAGAATCACTAGGCAATAGTTGGAAGAATAAGGGGAACATCACTCCTTCCTTCTTTCCTTCCAATCAAAGCATCAACAACAAGAAACTTTTTTCTCACTAGGCGGCAAGAAGTTACTCATAAACAGCCATGAAGACAATGCACGATGCATGCTTCTCATCAAGATTTCATGTTTTCTTCTTCTTTTGTTTCAAACCCTTCCCCCTAAAAGTCTAGCATAGGTTCTCCTTATCCATGTGTCTATGTGTCACATTTCTTACCTTCTTCATAAATAATGAGCATCTCTTTCTTACATTTGATCACGTAATTAGCAAAAATAAAAAAAATCAATTACCGAACTAAACACAAGGTACACCAATGACTTGAGGTACCTTTGCAACCCTTTCATTCCCCATTAACCACTCAATCATAGATCCATTTCTTCATCAACCACTTTGAGCCTCGTCTAATGATTGACCTTTTTTTATTCAACCCACATTCAATTAACCCTGGGATGGGAAGGTGTGTAATTGTATAACATTCAAAAAGCAAGTTACAAAAAAAAAAAGGCAAAGCAACAGTTAAACAATGTCTAAGGGCAAGTGTTCCAATGTCTTTGATATGAATACGTCTCAAATTGCGTCTCTCATCGAGTGCTTGGTACCGTGCCTGAGAAACATGAATGCTAAGTGAGTGATGGACCGCATGATCTGAGATTGCCTACATTGATTCAAAAAAATTCAAAAAAAAAAAATTAAATTCAAATAAAAAAAAATATATAAAAATAAAACTTGCAAAGTCTAATACATAATTGCATATCTTGGGGGCTTCTCTCGGGTCTTGAGCCTTTTACCCCTTTCTTCCTTAAACCTTCAGCTTAACCACATTACAATCCTTGAAAGAACTCTTTGAGGTGTACACACACTTGTGCAAAGTTCGGTTAGAGCTACGTTCGGCGTGACTCCTAACGGATACGTAGGCAACCTCACATCGAGGTGCGGCCACATTCATATCCATATCCATGTATGATCGAGTCAAAGAATACCCAATGCTTACCCCTACCCATCTAGAGCTAGACTTGGGGGCTTGATCCCACATCATTTAGCTTAACCAGCCTAAAGAGTCACCATTTTGACTCTTCTCACATAAATTTCCATTACCATAACCCTTGCAGCCAGCCTTAGTAACACATTCACACACTTCACTCATACATCCATATCCATATCAATCATCCTTCCCTTTAAGAGCCCTTTATCATGAAATCTTGTTTCAACATTGTGCATGTTTCATTATATTTAAACACAACATTCATTAGAAGAAACATTGTATACTTGCTTAGAACCCTGACCTGAGCAATATTCATTGTTTCATGCATAGCATAATGTGCTGAGAAACATTTATATATCAATGATTTTTAATCATACAAAGCATATCGTGCTTAGCTCCTTGACCTAAGCAACGTTCATTATGCAATAATCATTTCATCTTTATACGTGCTTAGCTTCCAGACCTAAGTGACGTTCAAGATCGTTTCTTTACACCATATATGATGCTTAGCTCCATGACCTAAGTTTATTCATCGTGTCACATGATGTAATTGTCCTTAGCCTCCTGGCCTAAGGACATGCATCATGCATACATTACTTTCAAGAAAAGCAATTCAATCCATGCGATTCATTTTGTCTTGCTCAACAAGGAAGTTCAAAACTTCTTTCCTTTTTTTTCGCGTCTTTTCTTTTGGGGAAGTTAAAAAAAAAAAAAAAATTTCAAAATTTTCTCATCGAGGGAAGTTCGAAAATAAAAGTTCAGTTTTCACATCTTTCTTTTTCGGGAGAAAGTCGGTACCCTCCACTCATGACAAAAATTTACGGAAATTTTTTGCTTTTGCATCTTTGTTTGCTTGTGCCTGCACACACACACTCACAAGTCATACACATGTCATGTCACATCAAGTCAAACTTGGTCAAGTTAGTGGTTAAGTCAATCACAATATATACGAGTCCGTTGGCAAATTTATTTTTGCAGGTCTCATCTACAGCCCACGTTCGGGGATAAGCGAACCAACTACAACCCACGTCCGGGGAAAAGCGGAGCATCTACATCCCACGTTCGGGGACAAGCGAACCATCTACAGCCCACGTTCGGGGACAATCGAACAACCATCATTTCATGACGCAAGGTTCTCGATACACAGAGACTTGCAATCTCATCATTTGACGACTTTCCTTAAGCATGGAAAGTATTATCCGGTGGATTTCTTCAAGCATAGAAAACCGCCAAATTCCTTTGTCGGCTTTCCTCAAGCATGGAAAGCATTATCGGTGGATTTCTTCAAGCATAGAAAAACACCAAAATCATATGTTGACTTTCCTCAAGCATGGAAAGTATCATCTGGTAGATTTCTTCAGGCTTAGAAAGCTACCAAATTCATCAGTCGGCTTTCCTCAAGCATGGAAAGCGTTTCAACAAACGTCATCCGGTGGATTCCTTCAAGCATAGGAAGCTGCCAAACTCATTTGTCACCGATACACTGGTGCCAAATACGTATTTTCTCCTTTTACTCTTTTATCTGTGGAATTAACATTTTTCTGCAGGTATTGGCGTATACAGAGTGGTTTAGGATCGCAGAACGTCTTAAATCATTCTCCGTCCCTATCGACTACTTTGACTATCGTTTTCGAAACTGACGTTTCTACAAACTCAGTCAAAGTGGGGGCTTATGTAGACACCTAAAAATGTCTCCCCAAAACCATTGAGTAAAGTTTTTAATAAATGAAACAACGGCCAACTTCTTCTTCTTTTTTTTAATAAATGAAAATCATACTTAAATAAGTAGTTAACAAATATAAATATTTTAGATATTATTAAAACTAAGTTAGTTGTAAATCATATTAGATATTATCTTTAAAAAATCTTGAAATTGCTAGTATAAAATATAAACTGACCTTTAAAAAATAATTAAGCCTATATTATTAATTTAAAAATCCGAAAGTAATTAATTATTCAAATGATTAAATACTTATATTTAGTGCCTAAATTTAAAATTTATTTTGGCTCCAAATTAAATAATTTAATAACTTTCCAAAATATTTTCTAAAAATTCAGTGTATTACAGTCTACCCTCCTTAAATGAAGTTTCGTCCCGAAACATAAAATTATTTAATAACTCGAATTAATACTCCAAATTATCTTAAATTGGTTAAAATTTAGTAAGTTCATGCACAACCTAAAGACTTTACTCAAAAGACTCACTTAATAAAGACATAAAAAGGAAAGCGTGAAACTCTATTGCATTCTACCCCCATTAAAAGAAAGTTACGTCCCCGTACCTTAACCACTCACCATGAAAAGGTTAGGGTACTCTTTACGCATTTCTGCCTCAGCCTCCCAAGTTGCTTCCTCAACCTTATGGTTTGACCATAGTACCTTGACAATCTTCACATCCTTATTTCTGGTGCTTTTGATTTTACTATCTAAAATTCTCACCGGTTTTTCTTCATAGGTCAAACTTTCATCTAGCTCAATTATCTCTGGTTCTAGCACATGTGCAACATTAGGAACATACTTGCGAATCTGGCTCACATGAAAAACATTATGCACCCTTTCCAGCTCGTTGGGTAAGTCCGACACATCTGCTACTTTCCCAACTTTCTGAAGAATCTCATATGGACCAATGTACTTTGGGCTCAGTTTTCCCATTTTTCCAAATCTCATTACCCCCTTCATAGGAGATATCTTTCGCTATACCTTCTCTCCTATTTGGAATTCTACATCCCTGCGCTTCTCATCAGCATAGCTTTTCTGTCTATCTTGGGCTGCTTTAATTTTCTCCTGGATCAACTTCACTTTCTTAATAGTTTCCTCGATCATTTTAGGCCCAAGTACAATAGTTTCACTTATGTCACTCCAACAAATTGGGCTCCTACATTTCCTTTCATACAAGGCTTCAAACTAGGCCATTCCAATGCTTGCATGATGACTATTATTATACGAAAGCTCAATCAAGTCTAAGTGGTCTTCCCATGAACCTTGATACTCCAATAGATATGCTCTCAACATGTCCTCCAAGGTCTGGATGGTCCTTTCAGTCTGACCATCAGTTGCAGGGTGAAAAGCTGCGCTCATTAGTAACTTTGTTCCCATGGCCTTTTGCAAGCTTTTCCAAAAGTTAGACAAGAACCTCAAATCACGATCTGAAATGATATCTGTAGGCACTCCATGATACTTCACCAAAAAATTCACATATGCCCTTCCTAACTGATCCATAGACCAAGTGTTTTTCATAGGTATACAGGTTGTAGACTTAGTCAATCGATCTACAATGACCCAAATCGTGTCATTCCTTGCCCTGGTCCTTGGTAATGCCCCCACAAAATCCATTGCGATCGAATCCCACTTCCACTTTGGTACTTCCAACGACTGAACCATTCCTTGTGGCCTTCGATGCTCTATCTTCACTTTCTGGTATGTTAAGCATTTTGCCACAAACTCTGCTACTTCTCTCTTCATGTTTGGCCACCAAAAGACCTTCTTCATATCCTTATACAACTTATCCCCTCCAGGATGCATTGAATAAGGAGAGCTACGGGCCTCCTCCATCAGTCTTTGCTTGATGTCCCCACGATGTTGTGGAACACACCTTCTCCCTTTAAAGCGAATACTTCCTCATCAACAATAGTAAAGTCTAAAACCTGCCCTTTCTCAATATTCTCTTTTATTGCCTTCAACTTCGAGTCTCCTAACTGACTTTCTCTAATCTTATCAAAAATAGAAGGTTTCACTGTCAAGGCATTCAACATCTTACTAACCTCTCCGTGCTCCATCACTTCTAAATTCATCTTCTGAAATTCTACACACAGTTAGTCTGGCAAAATTATCATATTCATTAAATGATTGGTTTTCCTACTTAAAGCATCATCTACCACATTAGCTTTCCCCTCATGATATTTGATATTCACACTATAATCTTTCATAAATTCCAACCATCGTCTCTGTCTTGAGTTCAAATATTGCTGAGTGTAAATGTACTTTAGACTCTGATGATCTGTGAACATTTTACAAGTTGCACCATATAGATAATGTCTCCAAAATTTTAAAGTAAACACAACCGCAGCTAACTCAAGGTCATGGGTTGGATAGTTCACCTCATGTAGTTTCAACTGTCTCGAAGCATATGCAATGACCCTCCGATTTTTCATTAAAACACAACCCAATCCAAACTTCGATGCATCACTATACACCTCATATTACCTACTTTCATCTGGTAAAGCCAACAGTGGTGTCGAGGTTAACTTGTCTTTCAAGGTCTGGAACGCTTGTTCACACTCTGGCTCCAAACAAACTTACATTCCTTCTTCATTAAATTCGTCATGGGCCTCGCAATCCTCAAAAAATCCTTCACAAATCTTCGATAATAGCCTGTCAATCCCAAGAAACTTCGAAAATTTGACACATTCTTGGGTGTTGGCCATTCGCTTACTGCATTGATCTTCGAGGGATCTACTGAAACTCCTTCCTTAGAAATCACATGACCCCAAAAGGCTATCTTTTCTAACCAAAACTCACACTTCGACAGCTTAGCATACAACTAGTGCCCTCTCAGGATCGACAATAATTTCCTTAAATGATCTTCATGCTCCTCCCTATTATTGGAGTAGATCAAAATATCATCAATGAAAACCACCACAAACTTATCCAAATATGGCCTTAAGATTCGGTTCATCAAATCCATGAAAACTGCAGGTGCATTAGTTAACCCAAATGGCATAACTGTGAACTCATAATGACCATAATGCGTTCTGAAAGCACTCTTGGGAATGTCCTGCTCTGAAATTATCAATTGATGGTACCCTGACCTCAAATATATCTTGGAAAATATTCCAGCCCCTTTCCACTGATCAAACAAATCATCAATTCTAGGCAAAGGATACTTATTCTTGACTGTCACATTATTCAACTCACGATAGTCTATGCACGACCTCAAACTTCCATCCTTCTTTTTCACAAACAACACTGGAGCACCCCATGGAGAAGAACTAGGTCAAATATATCCCTTATCCAACAAGTAATCTAATTGTGTTTTCAATTCCTTCATCTCAGCTAGAGCCATTCTATATGGATCCTTAAAGATAGATCCAGTCCCTGGTAGCAATTCTATGGTGAACTCAACATCCCTTACTGGTGGCATACCTGGTATCTCATCAGGAAACACATCTGGAAATTCCTCAACTATTGGAATACTCTCTTTCTTCTCATCCTCCCTTCCAACTTCCTGAACACTACACATGTATATAGGATAACCCTTCCTGACACAATTCCGAAATTGCAAGGGATAAATGATTTTGATCCTTGAACTCTTCCCTTCCTTCCTATAAGTCACTGTCACATTACCCGGACCCAACAATTTCACTTTCTGAGCAGTATAATCTATGTGAGCCTTATACTTTCAATTCCTAGCCAGTCCACTCCTAAAATCACATCTAAGTCTTGCAAATCAAACTCAATTAAATCTGAAGGAAATTCTACTCTAGCTATGGTGATAGGTACCCCTTTATGTGACTTAGAACAATTCCTCACTTCCCCAGTTGGAATAGAAACATCTAGAGACACTAACAATGGACTCTCTAACTTTAATCTCTGGAGTAGAGATTTTGAAACAAAAGAATGAGATGCACCCGAATCAAACATGACTCTAGAATTCAAAGAACAAACAAGGAAAGTGCCAATTACCACATTATTAGAAGCCTCATCCTCACGACGATTCATCACGAACACACGACCCTTAGGGGCCCCTCCTACACCGCTACTGGTTCCATTCCTCTAAGCTGATCCATTGGTCTGGGGTGGTTTAGGTGGGTTATTGGTCTCCTGGACTTTCCCCATCTCAACATCCTTCTCCTTGGTGTAGCACTCATACTCCCGATGCCCAAGCATCTAATAGTAACGACAAGTCACAGGGTTTCCCTCACAGTCCTTCCCTGGGTGATTTTTCTCACATCTCTTACAAAAAAAACTTCTCTTAGGCCTGGTGTTATTTCCATTCCCATGATTGTTATTTCCCTTTCCATTAGCTCCCTTCCTAAGGTTTCCCCTATTGTCCCTCATGTTGAATTGGCCATTTCCCCCAAAACTCTCCCCCAATCCAAGGCCTCTTATCAACTCCATGTGAACCCCCATCATTCTTCCTTTTCCCTCCAACTGAGTTCTCTAACTCTTTCCCTCGGATCCCATATAGGTGGGCAGCTCTCCCATAGATTTCATCTAGTGTTTCAAAGATCACCCTTCCCAACTTCCCCTAAAGACTTAGGGTCAAACCTTGCTCGAACCTTTAGGCTTTCAACTCCTCCGTGGGTAATACCTAAGATGCAAACCTCATCAACTCAATAAATTTATTATAATATTCATTAATGGTAATATTCCCCATCCTCAGATTGGTAAACTCCATGCATTTCTGATTCTTCAGGTAGGCGGTATAAAACTTGTCTCTTATAGCCTTCTTCAATTCTTTCCACCCAAAGTTAGGGGTTTCTAAAAGCCTAGTCCGGTTTTGACTCCACCATAGGTCAGCTTCTTTCCTCAAGTAATAAACAACATTATTAACCTTCAATTCTTCAGGACAGTTAATGGCATCAAACAACTTATCAAATTCCCTTAGCCAATCCTCTAAACTAGCAGGATCCTCCTTCCCAAGGTAAGTGGGTGGCTTTGCAGCTGCTACCCTCTTAAATACTTCCCCAAATTGATCTAAATTGTTGCTACGATTCCCCTGACTCACCAGCTAGCTCATGCTTTTAGCAATGGTAGTTAGCTTCCTAAGAGTAGAGCTCAGTTTGGAACAAGTGTGTCTACTATTTCCGGCTCTTAGAGACATCCTGAATAACTTAAAATAACAAATACACATTTATTATATAAGAAAATTTCATAAAACTCTTATTAAAGATTGAAACTCCATATTTATCCACATAGGATTATTAAAATAATTAACTCATCTTGTCACTACAAATTCATAAGGGCCACTAGTTGGCTTACAAAACTAAACAATTTGCTATTAATGGAAGAAATCAATCAATTATTATTCTAAAGTTCTACTCTTGGTCTTAGCTTGCTGGATCATCTTTCTGGCCACATCACCTGTGTTTCCTGTGGAAAGATGAGGGGAATCAGGTTCTAAAGATTTAGCCATGTGGGTTGGAATTTGTTTACATTTAAGCAAGAAGGTAGGATAAAATTCACTATAAGTTGGGCTACGGCACGAGCCATAGCTAGAGTTGCGGTTTGGGCTAACATAGGGACTAGGGTTACGGTTTGTACTGTGTTTTGGACTAGATACTTAACCTCTTGGGACAAGGGGTTCAGTAGAATGAGGTGGGGATTCAAAGTCATTTGGGTAAGGGATTTCTAAGTCATCGGATGATGTATAGTCAAGATGCAAACGTGGAGGTGGTAAGGGTGACATATCATAGTTTAGATTATTTAACTTTTGGACTTCTTGAGGTGTAAGCCAAAGAGGAATTTCAGCAACTATTGGTCTTGGGACTCGGCTCCAGTCAAATTCGGCGAAATGTAGGTCTGCTTTATAATTGGTTAAGGTTCCTAGGCATTTTCCTTCATGCATATAGGCTTCAATATTCCACAACCCATTAGGTTTAATTAAATTTCTATACTTTCGGATTAATGTATTATAATTAGTTGCGTTGGGTAAGTGAACTAAGGCCAGTATGATGATCCATGGTTCCTCTATCATCAATTTCATATTCTTGTGTCTTTTAATATCAATAGCATGCCAAAAAATGACTGTTATAAAGTCACGCACAGATATAGCATCCGATTTTACTAGCCTTTGATCAAAGAAATGTCTTCTAATATAGTTT